AATAAAATATAATTATAGAAAAAAAAACAAATAAAGATAATAAATGTGAGGCCTTTGTGTAATCAGAAAAAGGCCTCCACCTCAGGGCAGATCCTAGCAGCGTCGCCAGCAGGACCTGCTAGATATCACCCAACCTTCATCCCATGCCCATACCCTGTGTTCATCCTTGCCCATCCTGCAGTGGGACCCCACACTTACATATGACTTTGACAAGAGTGGAGTTGCTGATGCTACTGGTGGCTGAGTTCCAGCTCTCGCACTGATAGTGTCCTGTGTCATTTCTGGTGATGTTCCACAGAGTCAGTGTCCTGTGGTCTGGCGACAGTTCCGTGTAACCCCGAGTGAAGAGGTTCTGGCCATTGATGTACCACTGGATCCTCGTAGTGCTCCGTGGGGGCAGACACTTCAGGCTGATGGAATCTACATGCTCTACTGGGGACAAGTTACTGACTGTGATGTTGGGCTGTGGAAGTGTTTCTGCAGCAAAATAGGGAAGACATAGGAATTCTGAGTCCTGTCCAGTTTATGTGTGTTGCCAACTCAAAGTCATGTGGTTCAAATCTACCAGCTACTCTTCTCCAGGGAAAAGACTGGGCAATCTTCTGCTCTTCTATGAATTATAGCCTCTGAAAACTTTCTGGGAGCTCCACTATGGGTCTATACCACATAACAATAACAAAATATGAAAAGGTTATCTAAAATATTTTTTGAAAGAAATCCACCTCACTAAAAATAACTTTCCTGCTTTACAAACAAAAATGAATTTGGCATCACACAGGTTAGACAAATCTTTCTCAAAATCTAGAGAAGCAGGACAGTCCACAGAAGAATTAAAGAAGCTAAAACAAGACCAAAAAATACCACTCTTTTCCCCTGGGGTCGGAAATGAGTGTCCTCTTTGTCCTCTAATGTGAGGGTATCACCTTGAACCAGCAACTGTCAGCCCTGGACTCACACCTGACACAGTGATGCTGGTGTCCACACTGCTCTGAAAGCCAGAAATGGGGTTTGAGGCTGCGCAGGTATAGACTCCTGAGTGTGTCCTGGAGAGACTGGGAATGAAGAGGGTCTGGCCATTGGGTCCAGGGATCCCGCTGATACTCCACTTGTACTGGGCAGGAGGATGGGAGTCAGATGAACAGAGGAGGGTGAGGTTGGAACCAATCACAAAATCAGAGTCTGGTGTCGTCACTGCAGGCAAGTCAGGGCCATCTAAACGAAAAGGAACATGCCCTAAATGAGAAGAAAAGTCTCAAACCTTACCATTACTCAATTACTGCTCACAGGGACCGTGTAGAATAGAGTACAACTGTCCCGTAGGATTTTCAAGGCTGTAATCTTTACAGAAGGGAGCCCTCTGTGAAAACCCTCTGGAGGGTCAGCTCTGCTTCCCTTCTGACTTGATTATACACAACAATCTTTACAGTCAGGGAGGGTGGGGCCCACAGGGTGGAGAGGGGTTCTGGTGGAAGATCTGGATGGAGCAAGCCGAAGTGGGAACGGTATAATGGAAATGGGCAGGACAGAGTGGGCATCTCTTGGGTGGATCTAAAGGGGATGGGTGGGGTGGAAGTGTGTAAGGGGGCGGGGCATAATGGAAATGGACCGAAGGGGCGGGAAGGAGCAGAGGGATGATGGGGGGTTGGGAGGATTGACCAGAAGTAGAAGTTGGTTAGGAGGAGCTGAATTCAGTTGGGAGGAGCTGAATTCATTTGGGGATTAGGGGTGGGTAGATCCATGGCTCCATAGGGATGGAGAAACCTAGACTCACAGACCACCTCGACCTTGAGGGCTTCGCTGAGGCTGGATCCCAGGTGGTTCCTGGTCTCGCAATGGTAGGTGCCGGAGTCATTGCGTGTGACTGTGGGAATGGTGAGGACTCTGTCATCGTGTGACATTGCTAGGCCATCTCCTTCCCGAATCTCCTCAAGGTTCTGAAACCAGCGGATGGTCACGTCCTTGTTCAGGGAAATGCATGTCAGATTCAGGGAGTCCACGTGCTCCACTGGGGCCATGTTCTGTGCTGCCACCTGGGGCTGGTGCAGCTTCTCTGGAGAGAAGAAGAGACAGATAGGCAATGACCAGACACAAGGACTCTGAAACCCCTGGGACTATATGCTAGGTCGACAGAGCACCCCACTGATGGCTTTGCTGGTTCCCAGGGCCAGTGCCACACCCTGAAGGAAAGTGCACACACATGAAAGACAGGAACACATACAGCTGTACATGTGTGCACGCGCAGACATACACACGTGGACACACCCATACGAGTGCACACACAGACACACACTTGGACACAAACATGTGGATGTACACTGGCACACGCGTGCACACAATGTGGGCATGCTCACACAGACTCACATGCCGAGGGACATACATGCATATATGCACACAAGTACATGTGTGGTCACGGACACACAGATAAATATATGAACACACAGAGCCCACGCATCTACTAAACATGAACACACACAAGTACAGACGTACACATGCTCAAGGAACTGCCTCCTTCCCTTAAGTTGGTGGCCCCATCAAGTCAGCCCCTGACTCCAAAGGAGTGAATATTGTCAAGTGACCTTTGATCACTTGTGAACTAGACTGATGGGGTCCACAGGGATTTCACTGGCTGACTTTCAGAAACAGATCACCAGGCCTTTCTTCTTAGTCCATCTTAGCCTGAAAGTGCCACTGAAACCTGTTCAGCATCACAACATCACACAAGCCCCTGCTGACAGAAGGGTGATAACTCCTACGCAGAAAGTGAGAATCCCACCATTGAGCCACCAGTGCCCTCTCTGAAACCAGAGCCCCCACTGTGCCATCAGGTCAGTTCCAATTCACAGCCACCCTGTTGGACAAAGTAGAAATACCCCATGAGGTTGCTAAGGCTGTAAAACCTTAGGGAAACAGACTGCCTCGCCTTTTCTCCCACAGAGCAGGGTTGGGGGAGGTGTTCTAACTGCTGAACTCTTGGATAGCAGCCGAGTGCTTTAACCACTGCTGCAGCAGGGCTTCTGTCTTCGTTCTAGAAGCTTTTAAGTAATGGAGCTCTGAGGGTGTCGTCTGTAGGGAGTTGTGCTGCTAACTCCAAGTAGACACCAATGTAGTGGTTCAAATCCACCAGCAGCTCCACAGAAGAAAGACAGGCCGTCTCTTCTCTTGCAGTTTACAGCCTTGGAAATGCAATGAAGGGTCAACCAAGAGTCAGTCCCGACTTGACGGCAATGAGACAAAGTTCTTAAATATTTAAGGATCCCATAATCCTTCTGCAGAAATGCACAATTTCAGGATGCTATGGATCATTCAGAATAGTAGTTTTAAGTGTCCTCTGAAGACTCACACATGCATGATAAAGTCGTTTAACAAACCATATATAAAGCAGCCATCTAGTTGATTCCAACTCTAATGACCCTCCGTCGGCTTTTCAAGGCGGTAAATCTTTACAGGAGGAGACTGGTGGAGTCTTAACTACTGATCTTTGTGTTAGCAGCCTGACAGGTTACACATTATGCCACCAGAGCTCTTTATCAAGGAAAGTTTGGCAATACAGATTAAATAGTTTTGAAATGTGGGTCCTCTTTGACTCAGTGGCTTTACATTTGATCATGATTCCATAAATGTGTGTGTCTGCAAAGAGGCAGTTCTAAAGCTGTTAGGACCACACTGTTCATAATACGGCCAAGCTAGAAACAGCCCTTGTTGTCACAGGAAGTTTCATAATATCACTCTACTTCATCCAGGTACTGGATACCAGAATATTTTGGGGGAATATATATATTCAAAATATACGGATAGAGAAAGGATATTTGTAATATACTGTTTTCTTTCTTTAAAAGGCCACAGACACTATTTTCTGTGTCATTTTATTTTCTATAAATAAAATGATCTTCCTTATTTATTGCCCAACTTTCAGATGCACAGGAAGTAATTAAAAAGACGATGACTTAGATCAGACACTCCTTAGTTTTCGAATGGACATCCTTGCTCTTCAGGACTTGAAAGAAGTCCTTGAGAGCAAATTTGCCCATTGAATTGTAATATTGGAGAAGATTATTGGGTGGATCTTGGGCTGCTAAAACAATAAGTCTTGGAGGAAATGCAACAGGGTGCTCCTTAAAGCCAAAGATGGTGAAACTGTCTCTCACATATGTTGGGCATGTTGTCAAGATGGACCAGTCTTTGGGGGGGAAAAGACATCATACTGAGAAAGATGAGGGGGTCAGACAAAGAGAAGAAGATCCTCAACAAGATCGATTGACACAATATGACAGAGTTGGTAAGGATGGCACAGCATGGGCAAAGTTCAGATCTGTTCATAGGTTCACTATGACTCTTAGTCAACTTGACAACTAACAACAACATATAAAATAAAGACCTGCTACCGTAATGGATTAAGGGTTATGCTACTAACCAAAAAGTTGTCAGTTCAAACCAACCAGAAACTTTAAGGGATTTATTGCTATCATTGTGTTGAGTTCTTTTTGGTGTGGTTGCTAGTTACTTTGGACCATGGAGCTTTCTGT